CCCCCCCCCCCCCCCCCCCACAACAAAGATGTAATGCAATACTGAACTTTGGGACGATTGTAAGTGCACCATCATCAGGTACTTCGCATGTAGTGAACCATGTTAGTTATCATTGCTTGGTAGTAATGCCAACTGATCACTGGACACCTCATTCATGACAAAGAATTATATCCTCCATATAACTTTAAGTTTTGCACAGTTTATATTGCAACTATCAGGACATTTATTTTAACCAAATTACTACTATAGTGACCGATTCATTGCAGAAGTGGGAGAATCAATCATGAATGGTGCATTAAGAGAACTAGAAGAGGAGGCAGGACTTGTGTTGGATCCTAGAGACACCAACACTCGTTTGCTTTGTCTCTGGGAGTCTGCTTTTCCACCTCTGATAGCGTTGGGCGAGCCTAAGAATCATCATGTTGTCCTTTACTTCCATTCAAAATCCTCAGAAACTTGGAAGCAATTACAAGCCAAAATAAAAGTGAGCTGCACTCATATTTACTTTAGTTAAGTCTTCTAAATGCACACTAAAAAACAGGGATAAAATTTTTTTCTTACATACATAAATATGACAAAAGTATGTTTTTATAAGAATATGTTTCATAGTTATACTGCACCAATGTTCACACACTTCACATGCTACATGTCTCAATAAAACGGTTTCATGAGACATTTTCTCTAGCATATCTGATAACTTATTCCTATTGCTGGGTAGCTCACCATTGTTCTGAGTTTCATTCATATAGCCACATGTCAAGTTCATACCTAATCCAAATTTCATTTATATTTGCTACGTGCCATAATTATAACAAAACCCGACAATTTAATTACTTTTTCCTTGGTACCGTAACTTTCTTATGGTGTATTATCACCTCTCTTCAACAGTATTCATAAATGCACTCATTTTTGCAGGGTAATTGTTTTTATTATATCATGTGGCAGACTCTTTGTATTACCACAATTTCTCACAGCATAACATTCTTATGTACAGAGAGATGGTAATGCAGGATGGTTCAACAAAGGGGAGTAATTAAATGAGATTTCTGTCAGCTGGGTTGTGCTGTATAGTCTGGTCGATGTTTACCAACGTTTCCGAGGTCATACTGCCTCCATCATCAGGGCGATGAATATGCCAATTGGCTACATAGTGTGACAACCCAGAAGACAGAGAAATCTTCATACTCACCGCTGTGAAAACCCCAAATCTTACAATTAAATGAGAATTTGAAACAGCCAACACACACTGACTAGTGGTTAATGGAGGACATATTTACACGCGCACACACATATTTTGTAGTGTTGAGTACAGGAGCAGAATTTTCTGTGAAAATAGATATCAAGTGTGGATATGAACAGAAACAACAACTCTCAAAAGGAACTATCAGTTTTAATCTTTAATAAGTAACAGTTCTGGAGTAAACATTAATGACTGATACTCAATGGTATTGAAATGTGAGATGTACCAGTATGTTATACCACCTACCACTACAGAAAAGTTTCACAATATCACATTTTAAAGAAATAGAAAATAAATTGCTTTCAAGGCAAATGTTTATACTCTGTGAAGAATTTATATGTTATCTTCATTTTCTTATAGTTAGACTCTAAGGAGGTGCAAGCTTGTACATGGCTGTCACGAGATAATGTACAATCGATAAGATCAGGCCAGAATGACGGTGAAAAAATACATCAGTTTGTTGTTGGAGAATATGGGGAGATCCACCCTGCAGAACTGAACATCCACAGAATGTTCCACATGGACCTCTGGCGGGATGGAGAGATTTACACAGGGTCACAATTGGCACTTGTGAAGTGGTTGGAATGCTGGACAGAACCTCCAAGTGGAACAATTTTGAGCAAGATGTAAACCATCGTGGATGAAGCTATTTGTTATAATTTGGTTTTGGAGGTCATTCTGAACATAGTTGAGGTTTTAGAGAACTTTCTACAGATGCATATTTAATTTCATATTTGGCTGGAAGTATGAAGTAAAAAAACATGCCATGTCAGTACTGTACAGTTTCTCAGTCACACATGCTCCAAAGAGTAACAGTTTTAGTTCTTCTGTGTTACTGTTGAAATGTGAATGACTTGTGCATAATGATGGTTTTGCAAAGCACAAATATGCTTGGAAGCAAAGAACAACAATAATCTGAAGCTTTCATGGCAAGTAAGTATAATAAATTATTCTCAAGTTACCAGCTGTCAGGTAGTTGGAGAAAACACTATTCTTTCTCCATTCAACCACCTGACACAGACACGGTTGGTAGCCAGAGAATAATTCATTACAAAGAACAACAAATTGTTCCGAGTATGCTTAATTAGTCTGAAATTAAAAATCCAAAGAAAAAAATTAGTGAAGTGGGAGTGAAATTGCTCAGGCTACCAAATTTTAAGAATTTCAGGTAAAAAAAGATGTTTCTGAAATAAAATATATTTATACTTATTCTTGTACAAGAAAATCTACTGTCTTATATGATAAAACGATTAGAGAGGCTAATTTCAATATGTGACTGTGCTGTACCTGTGTTTATCTTGTAATTTGTAATGCACCTAAATGGCCTGCATTACCCTACTAATATTGCAATGGTGCTGCCAAGAAAAATTATTTAAAAAGAATGAACAGTCCGTAAGACTGAAGTAATGTTTAAAGCTGATAAGTACTTACATCTCATACTCAAAAGGAATTTAATCAACAATTTCTGAAGTCTTAATTTTACAACAAAATATTTCACATTAGAAAAGAGTAACGTGTAGTTTTGTAATTGACTGTATTACACATATAATTTATATCTTTATATAATTGTTAAAATAACCTATATGGGTCAGAACAGTTTCAAACAACATATTGGATTTTGAGTGTTCTTCTGGTAACATAAATCAAAACCAGCCATGTATTTTATTTGAAAGTGGCATAAGAGGTAAGATATTATATATAGATATTGTAAGGTTGTAATTAATTTCCTATATTGACTATCAAATAACATGTACAGGCTAAGTCAACATTAAACCTTCGAATCAGTCGTGATGAAATAAAACTATACAGATAAATCAAATAAAACAGGATTCCTAAAATTTTGGTCTTATATAAATATTCCTTATAACAAGAATTTACTCCTCTTAATGCCCAAATAATTTAATGTCAAATATAGAAAAATCATATGCAATAATAGGTAAATTAACAATTTTTGCAGTTACATTGGAACATAATAATTATCACATTTCACTTTTCTTTGAGGACATCCGTGTTAAACTTTCATTATTGCCTATTTCTAATAACCAGTCTTGACAACCAGCAGACTACAACATTAAGTACCTGGGAATCTGAACTATTAGAAACTTTACAATATGTTTACCTCACTCCCAGAATTGTAGTCTTATATCTAGATTTTCCAGAGATCTTCACCTCTGATCAGATATATGAACTTTCTTGGCTGTAAATGAGTGTGAAAATCTTCTTTCTTATATGTATGTCCTCACTTTTTCAACATTCTATTCTGACAACTCTTTCCATATTATCATTCTTATAATGTTGCAAAGATTTGAAGACTGTGCTAGTTAAACTAAGACACCCTATCTTGAAGTGGACAAGGAGAAAAGAGAGATGAATGTGATACTTTTAAAAGCACAAAGATATAAAAATATTTTTACCAAAATGTCATGATAATTCAGTCACTTTTTAATAATTAGATCACTAATGAAGTATTTAAAGAATTATTAATGAATTCAGACTTTAAACATAGAATGAAGCAATGTGTACCAAACTGAAACTATTATTGGTTTTGGTGTACCATTTATATGTTATAAATACAGTTCTATACAAAAATTAGCACTAAGAGTATTCATAAACAGATGTTGGAAGATTGTATCATATAATGGAATAAATCATGGTTAACAAAAATCCTTTGCATAAACCAAATTTATGTTCCTTCTACATTACCAGGTGTATATATTTTTTCATTTCTTGCTTGTATTTGTGCACAAAAGCAGATGAAATGTGAGTGGTTATGATTTGGTAGCCTCCTGCTGTTGGCTCTGCTGCTGAGAGCTTAACTGTGCCTGTAGCTGAAGTTGTATCTTCTGTGCCACAACTGTAAACAGATTGCATTAATCCTCTGAAGCTAAAGCTCATAGTTACAATTGGACTTTTAAATGATAATAAAATATGATAGGAAAATGACAAAATTCAGAATAATTTAGACAATAGTATTAAAATGGCTGCACAAATATCATTTTAACCTACTTCCCTTCTTTAAGAAAAAACAGTGAGTTCACAAGGCTGTGTGTGTCCCCCACTTTCAGTGACCAGTTCTTACAGTTTTCACTTAACACAAACTTTATGACATTCGAGGACACCCCAACCTTGTATCTTTCTGATTTCCTACAATCACCAACAACAAAATGGCAGAGACACAAACTTGTGAGGTGGGAATGACAAAGGTACCATTTAATATAGGATCTTGAAATGTAGTACTGTAATAGCTTTAAAAAAAATAAAACAAGAGCAATGCTTATTAAATTAACTTTTATGTAGACTAAAATAACAATGTGGTAGCTGTGTGTACATTGTTCTTGGCCTGGACAGGAAAGTTAATAGGCCACAGGAGCTATGAATAAGAAATTCTGTATGAAAATACAAACATTCACACAAATTATTTATGAAGTACTTATAAATCAACAAATACATGTGACTATGCTAAATGAACATACAATCTGTCCTTAAGCTTCAAGAACTTGGTTTTCCACTGTCATTATTGTTCCACCACTGCTCCATGTTCACTCATTTATCATCTGGAGGATGGACAATGGGCCCATTAGCAGCCCAGTTCCACACAGTCTCACCCCATAGCAAAAATAAAAACAAGTTATATAATGCTGCCATATAAGCTAATAGTTCACCCAAAAAAGAGTCAAGGACAACTACTGAAATGTACAGACAGCTCAAGTTATAAGGGATTTTACAAAATTGTTGAAGGATACTACTGGGATTATGGGACAGGCACACCATTAGAGGGGTGTAAAATAATTCATCACTTACAAAACCTGCAAGCTCAAAAAATGTTGACATACCTTTATTTAATTTACTCTTCTCCACAGACACCTGCATTATCTTCTCGATCTGCTCTCCCACAAAACTGACTTTACGTTTAAAATAATCTTTGGCTCCATCAATATCCTAAAACATGAACATTATAATACTGTTATAGTATATAACAATGGATGCTTGTAGGAGTGGCTACAGCAAATATGCACCCAGTTTCAATGATGATGTATAATTCTCCTCACATCATCACTTTCACTCTGCTGTCATGTGTTGTCTTGAACCTCAGTGGTGACAATGTAATATGAAAGTAACCATTTTAGCAATACTTCCTGATTTTATTATGTTTATTTGCTTTTGTACTATTTATGTTAAGAGTAATTCTGAGTATTGTCTTTTATGCAAATATACTTATTTTTTATATATTGTATTTGCAGTAATATGATAAACACCAGTTTGCTAGTAAGTTAATTAATTAAGCTATGTTTTATGGTTATATGGGTTGTGATGTCATGTGACTTGTAACTGGTACCCACCTACAAGTCCACAAGGTGTCATAGACCAGAAGACTACTGTTGACATCTTCATCACCATGAAAACAACAAATTTCAGTGTAACTATTTGCTGTGTCACATATTAATATACTTTTATTTATCCTCTTTAGTTTGGCAGTAAAAAATATGCACTACCATTGCTATCATGTCTTGCCCATGGAAGTGTAGCAAGTACCTGGCTGCAACATTCAAACCTGATATCTAAGAGATGTCCTACTGGCTAATTCAAAGACAAAAGAATTCATGCAGAACAATACCAAGAGGGAGCTGAAGACTGCTATGTATACTGTAGTGGACTGGTACAACTTCAGTTGAAATACACTTGGAAATACTTTATAATCCAAGCATAATACTGTCCAGGACATACAAGTACAAACTAACAGATCCCAGTTTCCATAACTAATCTTGGCACATAAGTGGAGTTCTTTTTGGTGTTATTAATGAGTCTGTAGGACAACAGTTGTCATTTACCTTGGTAATTTAGTTTGGTCTGGTTAGGTTTAACTAGTATAGATGTTTCTAACCAGCTAGCAATATTTATTCATACTGAGTGTTAAAGAGATGTATGAGTTATGTTACAGTTCACAGTAAATGTTATCACTGTGAAGAAAAGTAACACATTTTAATAACTGTTAGTTCGATGTTTTCTTGTTCATTACGATGGAGATAAGTATTACACATCACAGACTGATCATGTCTCACATAATGCATGTCTACAAAACCTAAAGGGAAGAGATGACTTGGAAGACCTAGGCTCAGATAGAGAACAATGTTAACATGGAATGTAAAGTAAATGGTGTGAGAATGTGAAATGGATTCATGCAACTCAGGGCAGACACTTTTCACATACCTATTTTGTGAACACAGTAATGGACTTCCAGGTCTTATAAAAGGCCAGAAATATCTTGACTAGCTGAGCAATCATTAGCTTCTTAGGGACTCTGCTCCATGGAGTTAGTTTAGATAAATGTGATACGAACAGATGACATTCCCAGGCCTTCCAAGTGTCATCTTGAAAGAGCCTCTCAAAACTCTTTGTTTCCCATACCTGTACTATATTCTGATCAGTTTTAATCTCAGCTCTCTTATTAAATTAACCTAATAATAAATCATTAAGTTCCTTAATATATACTATTATTTAGTCTCCAGTCAGTTAATCTCTAAATATTACATACCTTCTGTATGAAATAACCAGTTCCAATGTCTATGATGACAGACTTTCCATTTGCTACTCTCCCAGGTACATACATCTTTGTACCACAGTCAAGGAAACACAATTGAATGAAGGAAATCACAACACAGTATCATCTTAAAGCACGATCATAAATTATATTTTGCCTCTGCACATTTCAGTAAAGATTAAAACAAAGTTCATTTATATGTGCATTTACTGAAACACTAATTCAATTCAATACATTTATTTAAGTGCTTGACAACAGTAGTAAAATATTGATGAAGAGTGAAATAATAAGTGGCCATCACCATAATGAGTATCACACAAAACTGAGAAAGTATTATGGTTAATCAATGCCAGCACCACATGATACTGTAAAGTAGGGTCTTGATGGCTATTAACTGTTACTATTACTATTATCACACATATTCCATTTATTTATTTATGGTTTATTGAATGACAATTTGTTGTTTAGATTACACAGTATTGATACAATTAATGAATAATGAATTGGAAAGGACATGGAAGGAAGCAATACTACAGTGTCATTTTTCTGGAGGAACTGAGGAAAAAACTAACCCCAGCCAAGGCACTCGCTGTCAGGCTGAGATTTGAATTCAGAATCTCTAAAATGGAATATTAACCATTCCATTGCAACGTGTGGAACAAGCTTATCTGAAAACAAATATTTCATCAAGTTCATCTGTCTGGTATAACTAACTAGATGGTTTACCGAACCCGAAGGTTCATCACCAAATTAACCAAACCCCTCCACCAGACCGTCCTGAGCCAAATACTAGACCCTTTTTGCCTTTTTGATTCTGGCTATGCTTCATTCATATAAAGAAATATTATAATGAAGGGCATTAATGAACATTTGCATACATTTTGGCAAGTTTTAATTACATTTGATAATGGCACAGATATTGACATATGGGTGGCAGTAAATATATATATATATATACACACATGATGCAAAGCAAAGAAAAAGTACTTAACCTTGAGGAACACCATGTTTTTATGAGGAAAAGAAACGGACCAAGTATCAAACCTAGAGGAACTCCATGTTTTATAATGCCCCAATTTGAATAGGCATTATTTGAATCTAGTGATTTACTTCTATGGCATAATCTAAACCAGTGACCAGCTATATTTTAAATCCCACAAAAATACCTTCAAAAATACCCATAGCCGAGCCAAAAGTATATGTAGATGTAATTCTTTTTATTATGACATGCAGTACTAAAAGTTAAACCAGACAAGGGATTTAGTCTGTCTCAGAGATAATACTTATTCTTATATTTGTATGGCAGAGACAAAGAGAAGGATAGTTATGAGTGATCACTGAATAACAAGAAATATTCCTAACAATTTTACAAACTGCCTTGTGCTGTCAATACACCAAACAAGAGAAATGTCCCACTAACATTGCTTTTGCCACAAAACTATAAATAAATTGAACATGAGTGTACTGCATACTATATTTGGCAGAAAACAGATCCTGCTGTTATTCTTCTCGATTTCAGAAATTATTTTGTTGGGGTTTGTTACGTGAATGATCAAAGGATACAGATCCCGTTAGTGGCACCATAATGTTTTTTCCTTCTGAGTCTGGTGTTATCTTCTCCAAGCAGTCATTTGAATCTTGAAATTTCGTCTGTGCCATTTTTAAAGTTCGTGATGTCTCTAGGAAAACGTGTATCTCCTAAAACGAATAAATTCTTGAAAAATAATTACCTTATGCACGTTGTAATTTTCATGGCATGCTGTACGTACAAAGTATGTCCATGAAACTACAGTATAACGATTAAATAATTACCTGATCCAACTGCTGTTTCAATTGCGTGAGTTGCTGAAGACTCAAGTTCGATAACTCAATTTGCTGCCCGACCTGCGGAAATACAGACTCCTCTTTCGTCGCCATTTTTTCGGTTCCTTGAACATAATCTTCAGGGATACCAACATTTGTTAATCAGTAATGATAGGCAGTGGTTATTAAGTACAAACATAACTCTTGTTGCTTCATGTTCTCATAAAAAAGAGAACTGGATGTACTAGCAGTATAAAGCAATATTCTTAGTCTGAAATATACTGATGAACCCTATTGCCTTTTTGTAACAAATAGGGCAAGTGGACATATTCGCGATGACATATTTGCAAATCTGATTACTTTACTACTGCCACAACTCCAATTTTTCATAGCAGGGGTAGCAAGAATCAGTACCCTCTAATTTACAACCTGCCTAAACATCTCCCTGCCCCCCCCCCCAACATTAATTGGAAACCGTATCAATCGAATATCGCCTGCGCTGCAGAATGTGCCTAACTTGAATCAGCATTGGTAATTTTGCTTGATGACAGTAGCATAATCCAAGAGCTGGCTAATTCAAGTATACAATATTGTAAATTTTTACAACTAATTGCATGGAGCAGAATCCATTACACGCTTAGTGTCACTCAGCTAGTCAAGAAATTCCCTTTCTTTTATGGAACGAAAAACAAGAACCCATCTGATCCTTAGTCACATGAATCTCAGGTGATTCAAACATTTTGTGTTAAGTTTCAGGCTGTATGACAAACCACTTAAATTGGCTTAGAAAGAAATAATACCATCATAGGAAGTCAACAGATAAATTCTCAAATTAGCTGGGAAGGGCACTGTCTTTGGAAGCCAACAGATAATTCTCATATAAATCATACGCATATAAAAACAAATGTGAAATGAATGGAGAGAGCATGAGAAGATGTAACTAGGAAAGTTGTTTGATCAATAAAGGATTTTTTTAAATTGCCTCAAACACATGTTATGTAACTCAGCTCAGGAATGAGTAAAACAACTCATGAAAAGCCAGAAGAAATGTCTGAAACATCTATAAAGCAATCAACTGTTGAATCAAAGAAGACTCATTCAAAACCATCATTCAAATTACATTTTGTTCTACATGAAGAAATAGGCAGATCATATATACTACCATACAGACAAAGAAAGCTTGCATGTGAGTAACATGAATATTAAGGCAGAATGTGAAGAATAGGGGTAGTACATTATTCATTAATTCCTTCAGATATTATAATGAAAAAGTAAGCAATCCCATGGAGTAGAGACCTTGAGAAGCTAATAGTTATCCAGCTAGACAAGAAATTTGCCTCCAGTTATGGAACACAAAGTACAGAATTCTGTTTAGAATATCCTCAGCCAGGTGAATCCAACTGTCATTCTAATATAGCATCCTCCCACCATGCCTAGACCTTCCAAGTGGTCTCTTCACTTCAGGTTTTGCTGAAGAAAGCGATAAATATTGTTCCTAACATAAATATCTGTATTAAAAAAATATCTTTTATTAATTTTTATTTAATCATGTTTTGGCACACATTAACAAATCTCACCTTCACACAATTCAAAACATTCAGGGGGGTTAGATATTTTTTGGAAAGTTTTTTTCTTTCAAGTTCCAGAGAAGGGGCAGGAATGGAATGTTAGGATTAGAATAAATTACCTTCACTTCATAGTTAATTTTCCATCTGCTAAGGTCATTTATTCTAATCTTGATATTCCATTCCTGCCCCTTCTCTAGAACCCAAATAAATTAAAAATAAAATTTACAAAAAGGATACATAACCTCACTTGAAGTTTTGAACTGTATTATATTAATGTATACTTAAACCTGTGTAAATTTCTACATATCTAGCTTTTGAAGTATTTCCCTGTTGTCTTTCAGTTCCTGTTGTGGCTTCAAAATTTTATTCAAAATATGACTGTCAAGGGGTTGAACATACAGATCCAAAACTTTTCGAGGAACTGAGAATGTTACGAGAGAGTGGACCAAAAGAAAAATATGCTGAACCTGCCACAGAGAATCAGAGGTAAACTAAACAGTTTCAACAGCATGAATACAAGAACTCTGAGATTCAGTTTCTCCCAGATCATGCTGAGATACTGAGTAAGAACCTTCTGAAACTACAATAGGAATACCAATATTCTGTTGAGAGGGTTTGAGAAAACTTGATAAGCTGCTATATGGACTCATTTATTAAATAAAATGAATCAATAACTGAAGACATACATTTTCTGACAGGTATGGCTGGTACACTAATCCTGAGCTAGACTATGACAGAAGAGACAGAAGACTGTACTTTCCACAACATACTTCAGAAATGGTGAAACTGAGATCATTGATTGATCTTGCAGATTCCGTGGAAATACCTAAAAGATTATAGTTTACAGGTCTAATATAAGAATATATTATCAGTATATTACTGGTAATTACTGTTTCTTTAATTCAGTACTGTCATTCATTGTAAAGACAACTGATGACATAATTAGGTTATAAGATTATGAAATTCTGCATATCAGACTGAGGTTGTGTCATCCATACTGAGAGTATTTAATACTGGTATACTGATATTAAACTTAAATGTGAAATTAATTTTATAAAAACTTCATAATTTATATATCTTCCATCATAATAATTATCAGTACATTGAAAATTTTATAATCACTAAAAATAATCAAAACAGCTCAGTCAGTATAATAACTAGGACCGGGATTTGATTCCCACATGATTGGGATGTTTCCCTTTGTAACTGTGCCCAGACTAGCTCTGAGGCTTATCTAGCCTACTATCAAATCTGTAGCGGGGGATCCTTTTTCTGGGAATAACGTGGCTACAGCATGAAGATGACCACCCACTTCCACTCATCCATATATCTTCATTGTGTGGTACTTAATTAAATACAGAGTCAACTTCATGAAAATATTTCATAGCACAGAGTAGCTCTGTAGGGAAGTTCTGGCTATAGATTTGATTTTCTGTGACATCTCTATCTCTGTCCATAGTGGTCTTCTGAGTTGTGATGCTATATGGACTTGTAGATGGGTGCCAACGTTTTTGAGGAATGTACTGCCTGTATCTTCAGTCAACTCTTCGCCACTTTTTTGTTGCACTATGAAAATTATGTAGTTCTTATGTTATGCCATGGAATATAACACATACTGATTTTCACAATTTCTTTGCTTCTTACAAAAGCAATGAATTTGAGTTTGAATTGTACTTTACAAAATAGAAATGTAGTTTGCTGCAAATTGGAGGTAATGATGAAAGTAACTGTCTACTACAAATTATGATTGACAATAATAAATTTTTACAAGAAAGCCAATATGAATCAAATTGCCTAAAAGTGTAGGCTTATACTGTGGCAAATCTTTCCGTTATGTTTCTTCATGGAAATCAAATAATAGAAAGTAAATGAAACTATGTATATTAAAGAAAAATCCATAATAAATTCAAAATATTATTTTAAATGTGGAACAGTTTCTGGCAAGTCAGGCTTACATGGATTAATGACTGCAACATTTCACTACAAACTTATCATTATAAATTCTGTGTGTCCAGTGTGGTAGAAAATGAATTAATCACAATTAAAAATTGGTACAGTACCACCTTATATGTGCAGTAATGCCATTAAAAGGCACACGAAGAATCCAAACTTCCACACAGTGAAAATGCTGCCTATATTTCTTGTCATCTGTATGAGTGCAATGGCACTAAAAGTACTTGCCAATAGAATCAAGGAACCAATTAATAAAGTTATAAAATTATGGACTCAAATTTCACAGTATGAGATCTGAGGTTCTCATGCCAGTGAAAATGATGACATTGCTTCTGGGTTGTAATACCATATGGACTTAAAGATAGATAATAACATTTTAGAGGAATATATTGCCTCCTACAGGTCTACATGACATTACAACCCACAAGGCCAACAACGACAAATCTTACCAGGTGTGTAATATTGCATATTGGTCTGAGGACACTGATTGCAGCCTCTTATCAACTCATTCTTTAAAGGACTGGATATATTTTAAAACAGTTAGAATAGATGATTACATATGGAAACATAACACAACTTTTATTGAATAAACCTTAGAGAACAACTTTAACAGTTATATCACATTACTCCTTATCTTTTCAAAGGAATTTTATTTCTTTCCACTGTCTGTTAATTTGTACCACTGCAATCAGTAGTTTCTTGTACTGATAAAACTGTCCAGGTCCAAATTTCAAAGAAAATAATACATACATAACTGGAAATAATGATTTGTAGGAATCTCATACATATTGAGAGCTATCAGCATTTTGTCTGAGTTTTGTTTCATATTTAATAATAAATCATATATTCCTAAAGAGATTTCAAAACAATTATTATAGTCCACATAACAACAGTAATATATACCATATGTTTATGATAACCATATGAAACACTTTACTTTGTAGAAAATAACTCTTCTAATTGTTTTCTGTTTCCTTTGTCAAACTAAGAAATGATAGTACTAAAGTACTGCATGTTTATAATAATATTCCTTAGTCTGTTTTTCACTTATTAACAGGAATTATTTCATATCTCTAACATTTCATCAAAGTGTACCACGTTTTATTTAATAATCACCAAGAAACTATTACATCAGAAAAATATTAATGGCAAAGGCATCATATAGATGTGTACTTTAATTCTTTTATTCTAAATATTCACATGGTTATGAATCTTCTTGCATTTCCCATCTTTGGTTCAGTTAAGTTTGGATACCAAACATTTATGATACTTTACAAATGTGCTGTAACATAATGGTAGTTCTACATCACTAAGATTACTCTGTTCTTCTAATTTGCAAATAAGTATAATTGTTTTCTTTCTTATGACCTTCAATTTAAATGACTACATTGCCACAGTTACACCTGTAAGTCCAAAATCTGTTTCTTTCCAGACATTGTTACAGGATAGTTGTGTCCAGAATATCATCTTGATCAAACTACATATATGATATGTGGGGTTGGAACTTTGCAGTGAACAGCAAAAAGGATGTCACAAAATTTAATTTTTAAAGGAAAATAATGATGGTATTTTACCTCAAGATCTAAACAAATTTGTGCATTAAGATATTCATGAAATGTAAATTTACCCGTGCATAAGAACCATGGCATGAGAGAGTAATGGTGGAACAAATTTCCTCATAATATAAACTTCAGCACTAAATGGAGGTGGGTAGTCAGTTTGATGCATGAGCATGAAGTGTTATGTGCGAACAGATAATTAAAAAATGACCTTTAATGAAATAAATGTTTGTCGGTCCTTTTTTAAAAATAAAAAAAAATATAAAATAAGGAGAAACAACATTACCTTCTCCACAATTCAGAAATCTGTTAGTTTTTGTTCAAAAACGTTTAAATTATGAAGAATAAGTTTGTGACAACACAGCACTAGCAAGTGATTATAACAGACAGAAATTATTTGCTAATTAAAAAGTATGGCATTAGAAATTATGTAGCAGAAAAATGAGTATGTACATGACAATAACAGAAGTTCTTCTGTAATGCATAGGTTCAATCATGTAACTCAGAGTGTCAGAACAAGTTTAATTCCGAACAGTACAGAATAAAATTGGATTCTATGCTTCATTTGTACCTCGTGGACTTCATACTGAAAGCACCAACATTTCAGTCTTCTTTCCTATTAAACAGGGAAGTGCTGACCTAAAGACAATGTTTTTCCTAATACTGTTGGGTCCATCTGTATTTTTCTTTAAATCTGACACGCAAATCACACCATACAACGCCATTCTGTGACCATAATTTTATCAGTTCTTACAATAATACTAATGCAATGACTTCTGAGATGAAGGCAGAAACAGCATCGTTTAGTATGGTATTTAATTGTAATATTAAGACAAAAGGAATAACATAAAATAGAAGTGTTGAAGACAAAGGATTCAGGAATCTATATGAATTTAAGAAGAATGAAATTAGTGTCATGTAGGAATTGCATAATTAAAACAATTCATGAATGATGCAGGTTGCTATTATTGTAATGACTGAGAACGAGGCTATGATAAAGTGGGCATGTGGCTAGAATGGGGAAATAAGGTGTGCATAGAAAATGTTGGTGGGGAAACCTCTTGCATAACTCCACTTGGAATACCAAGGAGATGAGAGAATAATATTAATATAGATTTTGATATTAGTGATGATGAACCACAGTATTATTTGACTGAATAAAGTGTGTGACAACTGTGAAGGCCACTTCTCTCATAAACAAAATGTGATTTTGTGACTTAAATAAGACAAATATTTTGATTTCATAATGGCAATTCAAATACTTCTGGTGCTGGGGAAGTTAATTTAACTGTATTTAATAGATTTTTTCTACATATTTTGTATTGAGAGTTCAATTTTATCTTTTAAAAATGTAGATATAATATGAAAATGTTTAAGGATGATACAAACTACCACAGTAGCTGCTAGAGCAGGGAACACATCACCCTATTCTCAGTAGTTCGGTGAAAATAAGATTCAGTGACTGTAACAAACCTTACACAATTCTCTGTTTTCCTTCTCTGGTTTGTAAATTATCCATTGGGAATTTGAAATTTTTGTGGTGGTGAAATTATGGGCTATGGTCTCATCGGTAGTAATGCCATATAATCTTTAAAGTGGTTAGAATTTTCTAGAGAAACATTCTGCCTCTCAGTTTTACCCTTAAGATGGAGGCAATGTCCTCAAAAACATTGTTGACCATCTACAAGACAATATGGCATCACAACCAAGAAGACTATGGTCCACATATGAAGTATATGTGTTATGCTAGTTACTACAATTTTTTGTGTATCATCCTGTGTCACATACAACATACTTCAAATACATGAACTTGTGTTCATGAGGTCTGAAAAGTCTCTCGTGCACAACATAAATAATAATTAAACATGACAACATCGACATACTAGTAACTACTAAAGGGGGGAATGTCGCTTTGCAACTGAAAATAAAATCATTAATTTTATATGATATTTCAACGATATAATGTTCACCACACATCATAATAACTTCCTTCACTTCAAATAATTCTCGCTGATACATAATTCTTCAGTTTATTTACAATAATAAACATAAAAATAATAATTTTAGGACAATACATTACAAGAAATCTAAAATGTACAAACTTAAAAACACTGTAGGTTGGCACTATGGTAACAAACAAGATTCACATTTGGGAGATACCTAGTATGAATCCACCCATATCGTGGCTTACTGTTTTTTCCCCTCACTCCCTCCAGACATATTTTGGGATACCTTAATGTAGGCCATAACTGTTTCCTTCCAAATTTCTTCCAAATATTCACAATTATCAGATCACATTTAATTTGATGCTACATAACCTAAGCAGTTGTAATAAACCAAATAAACAAAATTGAAACAGAGTTTCTTCACACGTCATCTCTGATCATCCTTCTTCCTTTGAAAGAAAAGAATTTGATAATCATTATCAAATTAGAAATGCTGTAATATGACACTTGTTTTATTTAAGTGAGTTCTGCAAATTAATACTCTACTAATGGCTAAGACTGTCATTAAAATCTTGACAACGGAAGTGCAAGATGTTAAAACATATGAGCAATAAAGTCAGATGTGTTATGACCTGAATAAATAGCCATTTCTCATTTGGAACTTTCACTGCGACACAGTTAATTAAGAGCTGTTTTAAGGCTTCTTGGTCTACTTAATTGAAATTTGATTGTTACTCACATACATTAATCTTACAAATGTATGTGTTCTATAACTTTTAACACTTCCATCCATATTACAACTTCCAAATAAAATCAGCTTCCATACAACAGAATTGTTAGCCAGACATTCATTTTATTTCATTGTACAGTGAACAGGATGCATTAAAATGTAGCAATCTGTGTAAAAAATCTTAGTACTTAGATGAATTAATTTCATGGCTTACCTACCACTTATGGTAACCTGACATCTGCCAAAAGATTTGTAATGTACTCCATTTAAAGTTCATGAAACAAAAATGATTAGCAATCATTCTAACAATCTGAATGTCAACTATAATGGAGAGGTTATTTTTATAACATTCATCATTATTTTTATAAAGGATGTCTTAGACTGTCAGATATAATTCACATACAAGAACAAATTCTGAATTGTATGGTGGATTAAATTAAACAGATATTGAACATATTTACTGAATGTTAAATTTTAAAAGATGTTGGCATGACGTGGTGTCACAATTACCCTTAAATCTGTCTGGTGTCTATCTCTGTTATGAACAGCAATGCCAGTTAGCATCCATCTACCACAGTCAATTTTTACATCATAGCAGTGCAGGATGGCAGTGTACCTAAGAATTAAAAAATGTTTACAAGGACCAAAATACTTCTGCTGTGTAAAACTGTCCTCAAAGACCTAGGAAATATTATGTACTACTGTGTGATGAACTCAATGCAGCCTTAATGATACAGGCAGATTTAACAGGCTATGAATTGCTGATTCAAAAAGTGATGAAGGAGATAATACTTTTAAATGGAATATTACGCATTATTCAATTGTATTTAAATACATAATAATTTCTGTATATCCCACCAGATATGTCTGGAATCACAATCAGCTAAGAAAACTAGACCAAAAGAAATTTATATATATTTCATATCAAAGTACAGTATATATAGTTAGTTACATAATCCTCATTTAGGATTAATTGAGAAACCAGTTTCATATACCACTGTTATATCTTACTAGGGCATCGCTACATAGCAACATTGTCCACACTACGATGTTTTAAGTTTATGAGTACTCACTGTCACATTTTTCTACCAACTTCTTCTTTCGTTGAAGGAGGGTCATGCTTTTGAATTACACACAATGATTTTAACATGTATGAATATAAAAGCTAATTAAACTGCCACACTTTACTACTGTGTAGCACATCACTCAAACGCTATCTCCGTCTTCGACTTGGTGTCTCCCGGTCGCTGCAGGTGTCGTCATAGAAATTCAGACCCGTGAACTCAGAGGGGCGTAGTGTGTCCTAATAGCTGCGTCATTACGCACAATTTCCATTGAAATATTGTACATATCTTGAATGTGATGTTTAGTGAAATAGGCTTTTGTATATATTTCTTCTTTGGTCAAAGATTTGTACACTCTGTCAAGTCATCAAAGACTCTATAGATGTCACTTTGATCTGTTGGTAAAATGTAAACACATAAATTAACTGACTTTCTTTTACGCTATTGCGCCGTGTGGTCCTTGCTGCCTCCATCATGAGAGCCCTATGATGAAGCAGGGTTTGCCCCTAAAACTTGGGTAAACTTGTACCGGACTACATGGCACATCGTAAATGTGCACAAAGATACAGGCATGCTATTTATGTAGGTTGATGAATTTTATGTTTGAAATAAATGTGGTCAATCTTGGTGTCATCAAAAAGAAAAAAAGAAAGAAAAGTTAGCCACGGTGGTCTAGCAGCGGGTCCCGGGTTCAATTCACGGTGGTGCTCAGATTTATAACTTGTGTTGGGCAAGGCAGTGGTCTAGGCATCACGGAGTTTTCCTCCGGGGGCTTCCCCGGTTTCTCCGTGGCATCCCAACAATTACTCCACTCACACACAGAAGAAGGCAATGGCAAACCACTTCTGGATCATCTGCCAAGAATGTATATGAACAGGTCCCTGACAACCTGAAGAGGATGGAGGGAGCTGGTTCATATGGACCTGTCGTCAGACAGAACACTTTAAAAAAAAAGCACACACATCACGTTGCTTTGTATACAAACAACTATCATTATGACTCCCAATTACTGCAGTTTGAGAATTATTTTAATTTCAAAAGAGTTAATTTTAATTCATGTTAAAACCTGGGGTGCATGAGTAGATGACATACCACTGGCCGAAAGACTCATTTTTAACATCTGAACTTCATAAAAATAATTCCACTTCCATAGTGCTTTCTATGTGTTCCTGTAACAAAGTTAAAAATTGTGGCACAGAATTAGCGTAGTGGGGGAAGATCAGCGGAGGTACAGGGGCCTATCTCACCCTGGTAGCTCATAGTGGCACTGCCCTTACTGCTGCTGCTGCTCACATTGTTCATTGTTGGTGTGGAGTGATGGCTCTCCTGTAAGGAAACACAGAAAGTCAGAATCCAGCAAGACTGGTTTATCCTTAGAAAAATAGAACTATGAAACTATTAAATGTGACAGATGAATGTTAATCATATATATGACACCTGCAAATCACACATGAGCAGATATAAAATGATATTTGCTCACATGTACCAGAAGGTACACTGACTGACAGCAGTGATGGCCAGATGTTAATAAGGCAGAAGGCGCTTCTGTCTGTGCCCACCTATATAAATAATGCAATTTTGTGTGCCAGTTTAATCCCCCCGAAGTAATATGTTTCAATAGCTCTTATAATCAGAAAAATATGTCTCCAGTGCCTGGTACTAGAAATGAGACAATGAATTTATCAAAATTAGCTACAATATCTCCTTTGGCATGACCATTAAGAACTTAATAAAATGTTAAAATGGCATATGCTAGTAGCATGTAAAGAGCAAGGAAAAATAAAAAGTCACAGTAATTTGGAAAATCACATAGTCCTGCCTTCTTTAAATCTTCAAATCAATGCTATATAGCATAATTAAATAAACCACAAAATAAATTAAAATTACTGTTCAGTATTTCTAACGTAATTCATAAAATATAAAACAATATGTTGTTTCTTTTTGATTTTTCATATTATGTTAATGCAATCCATCTCGGACTGAAACAATGCTGTAATTAACACAGTTTTCAATCTAACGGGTAGAACAAAATCAGTATACGCAGAGCAGCAGATGCAACAGTTTTTAATTTTGATTGATAGACCTGACGATGATGGAATGAACATCGAAACATGTCGTCATTTTAAAATGTAACAATATCAAATGTTGAAATGTTATAATTTTATGTGATTTTAACAATCTATAAGCTTGTGTAAAGACGGTGAATAAAATTATTGTACAGTTTTCTTTCTATGCTGAAAACAAAATTAAAGCACTGGTATTTCAGTTTTATTTGCCATGTAAGAGAAATGCTGAGACATAATTTTTCATTATAACACTTCAAATAGAGATAGATATTACATTCAGCCTACTGAAACTAGAATTGTAGGATATAAATTTAAGTTCTCTGTAACTTCTGAAAGACTGCACATAAAAACTTACAGTGAAAAATATTTAATTTTGGTTTCTCTGAATGCTAATATTAAACTTAATCAAAGAGAATAAATTCCTAAGTCAGTCAATGAAATATTTCAGAACTTAGCTGTAATGTATTTTCATTTATAGGTAATTCATCTATCACAATTAATCCTAAAAAATTATAAATTTCAATCCTACAGCATAGCATGATTTCCAGGGGAAATTAACACATCTGCATAAAAATGAGCATTATTGCAGCATACAAGCAACTACCATATTAAACTTCATTTTTATTTCTCAGTTTTATGAAAGCTCTAAATGGAAGCCAATGCTCTAGCCTATTCATAAATGTTGTTGAAAGCAGGTGCTTTAGCAAGTAAACATGACTGTTATTGTGTGCATGAAAGTGTATAGATGTTAAAAAAATAAGCAATAGAATTGAGTGGTGTTATCACATAAAACTTCAGCATTTATTCTAGGAAATGTTTAATTTGATGTATGCACATCTAAATACTGAATCTTAAATTGCAAAGCAATGTTACTACATGTAATGTATAATAAATGTGCATGAGATGTTTAGAACAGTTTCTAAAATTAAAGCTACAGTAATCTAAGGTAGCTGACAGGGTAAGATCTCAAGGAGTCTGCAAAAAATGTCATTAGAACAGTAAACTCCCAATTATCCAGGGCCAGATTAATTGGGTTGTGAATTAACCAGGGTCTATCTGGTTTAAATGAAAATGAAAACTAATTTTAAAAAACTTTTAAATGTTAGAACATTTAAGAAGGAATAAATATAACAATGACATATTATTTAATGTAGTAACAGAAATCAATTGTTGCTAAAACCTGAAGTTTATGGCAATAAAATGATATTACTATCTGTTGAAATACTTTTTAAAAACAGTTGGTATGTACTGTATTAAATTTTATATAAAATACTGTTATTAGTAAATCTTTAAAAATTTAAGTTGTGTATGTCTGTAAATAAATTTAAGTATTTGTTACATTTGTGCGTTTTCTTTTATTGTTGCTGATTATCCAGTTATCCAAGAAAATATATTTACCAATCAACCTGGATAACCAGGAGTCTACTGAAATGAAGAAACTGATTATATTTTCAACAAAGGTAATTCGCTGACTGTTCATGGAAGGGTGATAAATACTCAAGTAACATTACTTATGTCCTAAAATTCAATAGCTCTAATACATTTTTGTTAATTTTGCTGAAGTTTAGTATCAACCCACTTAAAACACAAGGAAAGAAAAATAAATAAGCAGTATAGCAAAATAATTTTTGGAAGTGTAAAAACAGAGGTTAAATGAACCTACCTTGTAGTATAATAATATCCACTGGCTGTGCAACTGAACTGTGTACTCTCATTGATAATTGCATCATGTGTAACACCATGAGATGTCTTAAGAAATATTTGTTGTTGGTATATATCTCCATGTCACACAGAGAAAAAGAGTTGTATCACATGAGCTAGCCATTAGAATATAAATGAACTACACTAACAGTGACTGGCTCACAACAGATGGCTAATAATGAATTTTATGTTATTAGTTATGTTGTGTTTCAGTGTATAAAGTAGCAATGAATCACACAGCTGATGTGTTTAATACAAACACTCCTAATCCTGAACATAGTTTTTATCTGCGGTAAATGAGTATGAAGACCAATTGAACATAAAAATTTCAAAGAATTTATTTGTGAAAGGTGTGAATTCCAAATTTGTGTATTAAAAGAAACAAATTTTCCTCTTATTCTACCAAGAAGAAACATGTAACTGATGGAAAATCACTGTTTGGACATCATCATTAAAATAACAGCATATTCTTCAGAAAAAAACATAGAATATGTGCAAATGCGAATGTAAACATACTATATTTGTGCATCAGTCCGGTACTTTTTTGCCACACTAAACCTTTGGAAAACAAAGATTAATATAATGCATTTGTGAGGGTACTTTTTGGGGGACACGTGCAGTGATCATCTTCTCTCACCTCCCTGACCTCACTGACTGATGGTAGGAGTTCATCTGTTGACAATGGCGTCTTCGGGCTAGGTGTTGGTGCTGTCCCTGGCTTCAGATTATCTTGTATTTGCATTTGCATCTGCAGCTGCAATTGACGTTGTTCCCTCTGCATATTTTCACGTTCAAATCGTCTAGCGCTGTAACTACGAGATGAAGAAGCACTGCTGTGTATAGATGTGATGCTTGGACGACGAGAACCTGAAGTTGAATAATATAACAAACACAAAACAATGCAAAATGTGTTTAGACATACGGAGGTGTGACAAAAAAGTAACCAGACTGATTTTATTTCATTCTTCATCCATCATAGGTAGAATACAGTTCAGCTGCAGCCAGTGACTTTTGAAAGAAAGGATTTCTGGATTTGATGCACCAGGTAAATATATGCTTCAGCCTTTGTTAGTACAGCTTCAACCTTTTGTTAGTACTGCTGAAACATTTCTTGAAACAGAACTAAATAGAAAATTATTAATATTAAAGTTGGCAACCCTGGTTTTCTTAGAATATTTTGTGTCCCTGTTACATGGTTTTAATTATTCTTAATTGCATCACATAAAACAAATTTCCCAATTCCATACTAAATTATGTTGAAGAATATACAAGTTACATCTTTTTAAATAAATATAGTTATAAGTATGGACTAAATTTTCACCAAATGCAGACTGTGAATGTGAAACTGGCAAATTTGAGTGGTGTTTATGAGAGTGTGGGGGTACACAAAAGTTTACACTTCAATAGGTTTTATGGCTTGTGATCACTATACCATTATTCTTAATGTGTATGGTTTGATTTCATTTCTCAATTTCCAGCTTACACATTATTAAATTTATTGTATCAGCAGATTTATATGTAAGTACATGAAATGCTGCTGTGATGAAAATTATACTTTAGGATATTTATGTATTTTGTGGACTAGCACATGTCAAGTAGCTAGAATGCGTTCACATTTAATGGAACTGAATTCATTTATAAATACACACTGAATATGAAATATTAGCTGGATATGTGTAACTGGTTTATTAACTAGATACTAAAGACCATTTATCCCAGGACAAAGCAGACTCCAAATCTTCTCTATGCTGTCATAGTGTGTTCAGACACTTTACATTTTGTGTTGTCTTAACACTTACATGTCACATAAATCTATAAAATGAAATACATTAAGTATCTACTTCAGTGTGCCAAGAAACAAAAAGATTCTAGTATTAATGACTATACAAATATATCAAAAACATAAATAAAAATACTATTATGTGTTACATTGAATGAGATTAAGATTTCCATTCCATTACGATATAAATTATACCCTGAACATTTTTTTTGCAATATTTGAATATTCCTTTGGACAGATTCAGAATATATTATAAGCATAAGAAAACTGTTTAAAAATGTTAACATCTTTAGAGATTTATTTTCAGAAACTATAGACATCAGTTAAATATATACCTAGCATAATGAACACATTTAAAGCAAATGATATTTGATAGACCAAAGTAACAGCCTGTAGACACACAAACACACACACAGACACATGGAAAGAGGAAAATGATTAAATACTTCCATCACATGTCTGTCGGCCTCACTGTGTTCAAATATCCATTCCACTTCCTACGAGAGGAAACATAATTGTTCATTCCCAGCTACTGAACCAGAGGATTTGATCATATTTACTGACAATACATCACTGATTGGTATTATATTTTTAATTTGATTTTTGACACTGGTATATTTCAGACTGAATCACTGCCATGGCACAGGGTAGATGTGAAAGAAGGCCTACTGGGTGATATAAATGAACGAATGGATAAGGATGAGTGAATAATGATCCTAGCATCATGATTGTTGATGATCTATTGTGCATTATCTTCTGTATTTAACACTCTAGCAGTCTTGCGCCTCAAAATGAAGTGCAAACTTTACTTAGAGGGGTGGTGATATAAAACTCAACTACCTTTATTCAGAGATCAGTGAATTTCTGGGTCAGAGACAAAACCCATATCTGAAGACCATCAGTATAAAACCCAAAGCACTTGGAGGAAAAACCTGTACTAGTGCCACTTCATAAACCACAAATCTCAACTGACCACCTGTTATTGAACCCAGGTCTCCATGTTGAGAAGCCAGGATCAAACAGTGTGAGTTATAGCATGCATGGCCTTGGTGAAATGCCACACTTAAAAGTCACTTGAAACAAATAAATTTAGAAAAACTTGGAAATGTACAATAGAAAGAGTAGCAATCTTTGAGTTATTAAAAACTCTAAGTATATTAGATGAACGATGTGCCACACATTTTACAACTCTCAGACAATATTATATACGTTGAGTAGAAAACATATCAACTGTAACAATTTTGTACAAATAACGATTAGGGGCATTTACACTACTCAGCTGGTTGATGCTAGAACAATTCCTATGTTTAAAGGATTCTGACAACGGTGTAACATAATGTTTATGGCTCATCTCTTGAACTTTGTACAGAATAGGATGTTTCTCACCTAAAGGAGCAGAGCCCATTTCAAAAATGTTGTGGGTAAAAAATTAGGAGAACGAACAAAGTCCACGAAAAGAAAAAACTGATAATAATCAAGTATCAATAAGTTAATGTGATGAAAAATAAACTCAGTCCAGCCTTCTTCTGTTATATTAGTCACACCTTCTTTAAACATACCCATTCTTGGCTTATAGTTTTACATTTTAACAGAGTATGTTAGAAAAGGTTTTATGTACAGTTTCTTGCACTGACCACATAATTTAAAATGCTAGTGTCAGTATTTAAACAACACAATAATTGTGTTGATAATTCATCCTAAGATATTTTTGTGAAATTCAATTCACTGTTCCAATCATACGAGTAGGTATTTATTTGAAGATTTCAAAAGAATCTCCACTAAGACAAAATTATTAGGAGTTACAAATGATTGCACTGCCATAAATTACAATTTATGACAGTGTCTATAAACAATTGAATTATCAAAGATGGCTGCCTTTTGTGTTGTACCAGAGTGCTACAACCTTGAAGACAGCCATCTTCGTACTCACCACTGTGAGAACCTCAGATCCTACTTAGTTGAATTATCAATTCAATTGTAGATAAATTTGATTAAAAGGATGCAAAACCAATCAACAACTCATGCCTTAAGCACTTACATAAATAAAACATGCCATAAATGTAAACTGTACATGCAGATATTTCCAAGCAAATGTAATGGATGCACAAGCTTCCATAAATAAGGATAACATTCAGTTAAGTCTTTCATAATTCTTTACATTTATTTGCACACATATGAAGTCTTACTGTTTGCTTCAAAAGCATTGTAAGTGAGGAGAATGAAAATAGTAAATATCAGTATCTATTTTAGGGGTGAAGAAGAGTAATAAATACATAAATCCATAACATTAAGTAGTCAGGGCATAACAATTTTGGGATCTCCTAAAAGATAAGTCATTTTTCATCTTTGAAAATTTACAATTTTTAATTGTATTAGAATGGCATCTAACTAGAAAAATAAAATAAAATCTGTTAAATAAACTTATTTAATACACAGAAAGAAATAGCAACTTTCAGATTATGTTTGATAATTTTCAGCATTTGCAGTCATCTGGACCCATTTTTCATATGATAATGCTAATATCTAGGCATCTGGCACAACTTCAGAAGCCTCTCAAAACTCTTGTACACAGTGAAATTTGTGACAATAATCACATGAGCCTAATTAAGTACTTCTCTGTTTGGCAAATATTTTTTTAAATTTTAATCCCTTCAATAAATAGTTCAAAGATCATAAGTTAATTATTTATAAAGTAGTGGAATTTTATTATCAACTGAGTTGCTTAAGTCGAAGTATTCATAATGATTCCATACAGAAGAGTGGAATGAATGGCAAGCAAAATGGGATAAGTTGAAGCTCTATGACACATTTATTCACAACATACACTTGGTGATAGGGAAAGCTATAATCTGACATAAAATTCACATACACATGATGTCTGAAAAAGATGTACACACAACCAACATAAACATCAGCCTTGTGTACACAACTTTTTGGGACACCTGTATCTATAATAGATTTCCAACTCTATCATTAAAACTACATGCAAGGAAAACAAAACACTACAATCAGCATGCAAGTATTTATGTATCTTGTATAATAAAATATTTTATGCCAAATCTCTTGTAAATGTATTGTTCCACCATTAATGTTTAAATTTCTTACACATATAACTGAATATAAAACTAAACTACCTTTCTTTGAGACCAAGGGAAAAGAAAATATAAGCAATTCTGAAAACTCATAAAACAAAACACATTAATTTAACAGTTCTGACTTTTTTTACCTCCACCATGTGGAAAAACTAATTTAATGATTATATTAGCATATTTTCAATATGTGCTTAAATCCATAAAATATGGTTAATACACATACTTTTCACAGTATCTTAATTTGCACTATTTTTGACACTTTCTTGTAACTCGTAACAGAATTTAGAATTTAAACTTGTTTTTCAGTGTTCAATGTCATTAAAATACTGTATAAAATCTTTTATTTTTGTTGTTAACTTCTATGTTTGGCAAGTTAAATACTGCACAAAAAGGCATATAATTTATAAACAGGACAGTACTTTTCTATATTTAAATTATATATTGTATATTTAAACTGACATATACTAGTATTAAATTAGAAAAGGAATTGGGATTTGGTTTTAATTAATTCTGAACATGTAACTGTTTCATGTACACTCCATATGAATGACCATTACTTCAGAAAATGAGCCAGTTTGATAAATCAAATAACTTCTGACACAAATGTGTAGTCAGAGAAAGAACTAATAACATCAACCCTTTTGAGACTATTAATATTCATGCAAATTACAGACATGTTTACACAATAGAAATGAAATGCACACAGAAGTAGAATACAAGCAGCAAGAGAGCAGTGATGAAGAATATTTCATTCAAAATTGAGATGGTAATGTGTACAAAAATAACTGTTTCTCCTTTATTGATTATAATGTGTGTGAGTGTGAAGAGCATCAAACCAACATACCAAGCATTTTGTAACCGTACTACCCATGTGAACAATATGAACAAAACATAATGCTTCTACAATATTTCTACATATCTACATTTCTCTAAAACAATTACAGTAAAATTACAAAGTAAAAGCAATACAATATAACAAATAAGGCCAGATTTGTGGAACATAAGTACGCCTAACTATTACAAATTAAAGCTGCCACATGCATGTATTATTCAGAATGCTTTTCTAAATTATGTTGTGACTTAAACAATGGTGTCAACCATGTTACTTCACACAAACATAAACAACTCAGTCTGTGGAAAATAAGATGAACAAAATTGTAATGTGGGCTAAATAACAATAATATAATTACTCACTTTTTATTGATCTTATTTCCTGAAATTAACTACTGTAACTATGTACTGAAATACAATTTTGTATTTAACTGACATACATGGGTGTAATACAATAACTGACTGACAAATAAATGATTATATATATATATATATCATTCAGTGTCGTCATGTAGTACAAGCTTCACTGGGGTGCAAAACATCAAAACACGTATGTCACCACTGCCATCTTGCTTTTGTTTTTAATCATGACACAGAACTGCCACGAGCACATCTGACTTCGTAAGAATAAGTACATAACTAATGTCTATAATTATAATTTAAATTCTCTACAATGTATCTAGAAACCACCACACTCATTCAAAGTGTTATCACATTCTAAAAATCAATGGGGACTAGCACAGCTCTATAGCCAGTCAAAGAACTAATGAATGGTATTCACCAATTTTAATTTTTAAAATATAAATATGTTGAATTTTATTACAAAATCATATAACTGTAAGAATTAATGTTATGGAATGTAATGGTATGTTTTGTGTTACTTCTAAAAGGAGGATAATTATGCAAAAACAATTTTCTTTGTGAGAAAATGCAGTATTCCTGGTTTTTGTTCTACATTATAGCATGTTCAATCATTTCAACAATTTTTCTGTCATATTTCCTTTCGCCATCTTCATGTGTATTATGTGTTCTTTGCTATGGTTATTGTTTGCATACACCTTTCCTACAACATAACTATGAGTTCATTGACTTAAGTAATGTTAAAAAGTGTAGTTAGTTGAGAAAGAAAAAAAACATGTTCACCTACATAAATGGGTTAAGAAATTTTAATTTCACTGTATAAATGAAAAATAATTCATTTTGAAAGATTGTTAGTGATATTAAGAATTCCAGTGGGTATACAAAAGAAGAAAAATGAGAAAGAAGGAACACAAAAAAAATAGAGTTACGATAAAATTATTCTGTATATGTGTGAAAGTTTTTCATGATATAAACAATTTGTTTGCAAATGAATTAAAATAATTGTTGTAATAGTAAGAAACTGAACATTACATATTTTAAGTTGATGTGCATACTGGTTTTATAAATAAAATTAATATCTTAAATTTACAGCTTATTAACACAATGCGGAATGTGTAAGCAGTTCTACGCTTCTCATAAATTTTTCAGCAGTGTTACCTTTTTGAACTTTTTAAGTACTTCTGTTATTGCAAGAAATTGACTGGAAAATACGTAAAGCAAATTTGGATACGACTGTGAGCATGATTAGTTGATTAATCAAATCCTGCATTAACTGCAATTACACACAATGAGGCATAAGCCCTCAGTGTGGTTTGTATATAGTCATATTTATCACATTGTACAATTCAAAAGCATGTAAGTTTATTAATGTGAAATCAACAGCTCCTGAAAATAATGGTTAGAGTTTCTGATGGCCTGCAAGAGTTGAAATACACAGGGCAGAATGATTACCCAAGCCTCAGTTGACAGGAAAAACAGGCCTGCAATTTCATACAACAGGGACAAAAAATGATTTGATGTCAATTTATCTAAAGATATATATACTTTCATAAGTTTCAACAGGATTTAATTCACACCCATTTCAGGTACCTTAAAAAATTGTGGCCATATGGCTAACACTCCTTTTTTTATTCAGAAAGTTCCAGTTTAAAATCGCAGCATGGAGGTTAAATACCATTAATGAGGTTTTCTGTGGTTTTCCTCACTCACTCCAAGCAAATGTCAGAATGGTACATTAAATTAGGCCATAACCACTTTCTTCCATATCCTGACTCATTATTCATTAACTGCCTTGTCACTTGATGCTGTACAGTTTGAGCTACTAATAGCATCATTAAATAAACCATAAATAAATAGATTAAATATTTCAGATATAAAATCTGGTAAGTTGTTGGTATCACCAAACTTGGGTTAAGGAAAGAAGATAAAAGCATTATTAAAATAGATGTAGACTTCGACTAATGATGTATATGTGGTATAACGCAGCATTTATACAATTATGTATGTTCACGAATGTGTGTAATGTTTGTTTTATTATGAAATTATTGACAACAGGTCAGTCAGGGTATAGATTTATCAACAAGATTTCCAGGACTTCGAGCTTGTAATTAACTTGTGTGTCTGTGTTTTGTCCTACTAAGACTTCACCAACTGTGAGCTCTAGGTTTTCATTGTATCAAGTTGACAAAGAATTGGTTGAAAATGTTAAACACACATCTTCATATTACAAGCTACAAATCTTGGTGCTATTAAAAAAACACCCTGTCACAGACCCAATTTCATAACACCACAAACACTTTGGTGAATATGGGGGAACGCATCAACGCTCGGAGGAAGTTTACCGGTACGCTGTTGTTGCTCTTGGTCTGGCTGACTGTTGTCGTCAGTGCTAGTTTGCTCAGAGGCCGCTGTGGCCGCGGTAGTTGTGAGATGGCATGAGATTAGCAAGATGGCGGCGGCGCGTGCCGCACCTGCTCGCGACGCAGGGACCAGCACCCCTCGGCTACCCCCGCTGCTTGGACGCCGTGAGAAACCTGACGCTATAGTCCCAACACTACGCTGACTGGATGCCCGAGAGGACGGACGTCCTCCATGGACCGCCAAAGGAATCCCTGTAAAGTAGTACGTCCTCACAACAGTCAGATCAAAGACCAATTTATTGTTGTGGATCAAATTTTGTTCAACTGCTGTTTACCAAGCATCATGGGATTTATTTTCTTAGCTTCCATTGTTCAGATTCAGTCATATTCATAATGTTGTGGAAACTTCAGTCCAAATATAAATTCATGAAGAAGCAGATCGCCTTGTTTATTTACTGGGAGAGACTTTCAGAGTTCTCATGTAGGATAGAAATAAGAATTTCTGTACAAGTATGGATAAATTATGGTTATGATCTTTATCAAATTTAACATAACAAGAAAACCTCATTTTGATGAACAACCCAACATACTGGCAAAACTTCCTACTTTTGGCATATTTACTACAGTGATAGCATGGGCAAATTCAAATTTTCAATCAAAACCTTTCTTCAGACCTCTATCCCAATTTGTGTTATAAAAATTCATTATTGGGTTTGACATGAAACTACAGTTAAGCCATTTAGAAATCAGTATGGCATCCAGTCGGCAAAAGCAGATTGATAACTAGATTTAGTATGTAACATAAACAAAATTATTGCAGAGTGAGCATTACATAATAAATGGAATTTCTTTATATGAAATCTAACTAAACCAGCTCACTAAGCTGACGTTTTTGAGAAAGTGGTAGTCTATCATTTTCTGCCCTTTATGAAACCCAAATGATCTTTGTCATTTCCATAAAAGTTTGCTGGCAGTATAACAAAATATGTATATTATACCTTCCAATTAAAGCAGGGGGTTCTCAACCTTTTTCGCTGGCACAACAAATAAATTTAGAAAAACTTGGAAATGTACAATAGAAAGAGTAGCAATCTTTGAGTTATTAAAAACTCTAAGTATATTAGATGAACGATGTGCCACACATTTTACAACTCTCAGACAATATTATATACGTTGAGTAGAAAACATATCAACTGTAACAATTTTGTACAAATAACGATTAGGGGCATTTACACTACTCAGCTGGTTGATGCTAGAACAATTCCTATGTTTAAAGGATTCTGACAACGGTGTAACATAATGTTTATGGCTCATCTCTTGAACTTTGTACAGAATAGGATGTTTCTCACCTAAAGGAGCAGAGCCCATTTCAAAAATGTTGTGGGTAAAAAATTAGGAGAACGAACAAAGTCCACGAAAAGAAAAAACTGATAATAATCAAGTATCAATAAGTTAATGTGATGAAAAATAAACTCAGTCCAGCCTTCTTCTGTTATATTAGTCACACCTTCTTTAAACATACCCATTCTTGGCTTATAGTTTTACATTTTAACAGAGTATGTTAGAAAAGGTTTTATGTACAGTTTCTTGCACTGACCACATAATTTAAAATGCTAGTGTCAGTATTTAAACAACACAATAATTGTGTTGATAATTCATCCTAAGATATTTTTGTGAAATTCAATTCACTGTTCCAATCATACGAGTAGGTATTTATTTGAAGATTTCAAAAGAATCTCCACTAAGACAAAATTATTAGGAGTTACAAATGATTGCACTGCCATAAATTACAATTTATGACAGTGTCTATAAACAATTGAATTATCAAAGATGGCTGCCTTTTGTGTTGTACCAGAGTGCTACAACCTTGAAGACAGCCATCTTCGTACTCACCACTGTGAGAACCTCAGATCCTACTTAGTTGAATTATCAATTCAATTGTAGATAAATTTGATTAAAAGGATGCAAAACCAATCAACAACTCATGCCTTAAGCACTTACATAAATAAAACATGCCATAAATGTAAACTGTACATGCAGATATTTCCAAGCAAATGTAATGGATGCACAAGCTTCCATAAATAAGGATAACATTCAGTTAAGTCTTTCATAATTCTTTACATTTATTTGCACACATATGAAGTCTTACTGTTTGCTTCAAAAGCATTGTAAGTGAGGAGAATGAAAATAGTAAATATCAGTATCTATTTTAGGGGTGAAGAAGAGTAATAAATACATAAATCCATAACATTAAGTAGTCAGGGCATAACAATTTTGGGATCTCCTAAAAGATAAGTCATTTTTCATCTTTGAAAATTTACAATTTTTAATTGTATTAGAATGGCATCTAACTAGAAAAATAAAATAAAATCTGTTAAATAAACTTATTTAATACACAGAAAGAAATAGCAACTTTCAGATTATGTTTGATAATTTTCAGCATTTGCAGTCATCTGGACCCATTTTTCATATGATAATGCTAATATCTAGGCATCTGGCACAACTTCAGAAGCCTCTCAAAACTCTTGTACACAGTGAAATTTGTGACAATAATCACATGAGCCTAATTAAGTACTTCTCTGTTTGGCAAATATTTTTTTAAATTTTAATCCCTTCAATAAATAGTTCAAAGATCATAAGTTAATTATTTATAAAGTAGTGGAATTTTATTATCAACTGAGTTGCTTAAGTCGAAGTATTCATAATGATTCCATACAGAAGAGTGGAATGAATGGCAAGCAAAATGGGATAAGTTGAAGCTCTATGACACATTTATTCACAACATACACTTGGTGATAGGGAAAGCTATAATCTGACATAAAATTCACATACACATGATGTCTGAAAAAGATGTACACACAACCAACATAAACATCAGCCTTGTGTACACAACTTTTTGGGACACCTGTATCTATAATAGATTTCCAACTCTATCATTAAAACTACATGCAAGGAAAACAAAACACTACAATCAGCATGCAAGTATTTATGTATCTTGTATAATAAAATATTTTATGCCAAATCTCTTGTAAATGTATTGTTCCACCATTAATGTTTAAATTTCTTACACATATAACTGAATATAAAACTAAACTACCTTTCTTTGAGACCAAGGGAAAAGAAAATATAAGCAATTCTGAAAACTCATAAAACAAAACACATTAATTTAACAGTTCTGACTTTTTTTACCTCCACCATGTGGAAAAACTAATTTAATGATTATATTAGCATATTTTCAATATGTGCTTAAATCCATAAAATATGGTTAATACACATACTTTTCACAGTATCTTAATTTGCACTATTTTTGACACTTTCTTGTAACTCGTAACAGAATTTAGAATTTAAACTTGTTTTTCAGTGTTCAATGTCATTAAAATACTGTATAAAATCTTTTATTTTTGTTGTTAACTTCTATGTTTGGCAAGTTAAATACTGCACAAAAAGGCATATAATTTATAAACAGGACAGTACTTTTCTATATTTAAATTATATATTGTATATTTAAACTGACATATACTAGTATTAAATTAGAAAAGGAATTGGGATTTGGTTTTAATTAATTCTGAACATGTAACTGTTTCATGTACACTCCATATGAATGACCATTACTTCAGAAAATGAGCCAGTTTGATAAATCAAATAACTTCTGACACAAATGTGTAGTCAGAGAAAGAACTAATAACATCAACCCTTTTGAGACTATTAATATTCATGCAAATTACAGACATGTTTACACAATAGAAATGAAATGCACACAGAAGTAGAATACAAGCAGCAAGAGAGCAGTGATGAAGAATATTTCATTCAAAATTGAGATGGTAATGTGTACAAAAATAACTGTTTCTCCTTTATTGATTATAATGTGTGTGAGTGTGAAGAGCATCAAACCAACATACCAAGCATTTTGTAACCGTACTACCCATGTGAACAATATGAACAAAACATAATGCTTCTACAATATTTCTACATATCTACATTTCTCTAAAACAATTACAGTAAAATTACAAAGTAAAAGCAATACAATATAACAAATAAGGCCAGATTTGTGGAACATAAGTACGCCTAACTATTACAAATTAAAGCTGCCACATGCATGTATTATTCAGAATGCTTTTCTAAATTATGTTGTGACTTAAACAATGGTGTCAACCATGTTACTTCACACAAACATAAACAACTCAGTCTGTGGAAAATAAGATGAACAAAATTGTAATGTGGGCTAAATAACAATAATATAATTACTCACTTTTTATTGATCTTATTTCCTGAAATTAACTACTGTAACTATGTACTGAAATACAATTTTGTATTTAACTGACATACATGGGTGTAATACAATAACTGACTGACAAATAAATGATTATATATATATATATATCATTCAGTGTCGTCATGTAGTACAAGCTTCACTGGGGTGCAAAACATCAAAACACGTATGTCACCACTGCCATCTTGCTTTTGTTTTTAATCATGACACAGAACTGCCACGAGCACATCTGACTTCGTAAGAATAAGTACATAACTAATGTCTATAATTATAATTTAAATTCTCTACAATGTATCTAGAAACCACCACACTCATTCAAAGTGTTATCACATTCTAAAAATCAATGGGGACTAGCACAGCTCTATAGCCAGTCAAAGAACTAATGAATGGTATTCACCAATTTTAATTTTTAAAATATAAATATGTTGAATTTTATTACAAAATCATATAACTGTAAGAATTAATGTTATGGAATGTAATGGTATGTTTTGTGTTACTTCTAAAAGGAGGATAATTATGCAAAAACAATTTTCTTTGTGAGAAAATGCAGTATTCCTGGTTTTTGTTCTACATTATAGCATGTTCAATCATTTCAACAATTTTTCTGTCATATTTCCTTTCGCCATCTTCATGTGTATTATGTGTTCTTTGCTATGGTTATTGTTTGCATACACCTTTCCTACAACATAACTATGAGTTCATTGACTTAAGTAATGTTAAAAAGTGTAGTTAGTTGAGAAAGAAAAAAAACATGTTCACCTACATAAATGGGTTAAGAAATTTTAATTTCACTGTATAAATGAAAAATAATTCATTTTGAAAGATTGTTAGTGATATTAAGAATTCCAGTGGGTATACAAAAGAAGAAAAATGAGAAAGAAGGAACACAAAAAAAATAGAGTTACGATAAAATTATTCTGTATATGTGTGAAAGTTTTTCATGATATAAACAATTTGTTTGCAAATGAATTAAAATAATTGTTGTAATAGTAAGAAACTGAACATTACATATTTTAAGTTGATGTGCATACTGGTTTTATAAATAAAATTAATATCTTAAATTTACAGCTTATTAACACAATGCGGAATGTGTAAGCAGTTCTACGCTTCTCATAAATTTTTCAGCAGTGTTACCTTTTTGAACTTTTTAAGTACTTCTGTTATTGCAAGAAATTGACTGGAAAATACGTAAAGCAAATTTGGATACGACTGTGAGCATGATTAGTTGATTAATCAAATCCTGCATTAACTGCAATTACACACAATGAGGCATAAGCCCTCAGTGTGGTTTGTATATAGTCATATTTATCACATTGTACAATTCAAAAGCATGTAAGTTTATTAATGTGAAATCAACAGCTCCTGAAAATAATGGTTAGAGTTTCTGATGGCCTGCAAGAGTTGAAATACACAGGGCAGAATGATTACCCAAGCCTCAGTTGACAGGAAAAACAGGCCTGCAATTTCATACAACAGGGACAAAAAATGATTTGATGTCAATTTATCTAAAGATATATATACTTTCATAAGTTTCAACAGGATTTAATTCACACCCATTTCAGGTACCTTAAAAAATTGTGGCCATATGGCTAACACTCCTTTTTTTATTCAGAAAGTTCCAGTTTAAAATCGCAGCATGGAGGTTAAATACCATTAATGAGGTTTTCTGTGGTTTTCCTCACTCACTCCAAGCAAATGTCAGAATGGTACATTAAATTAGGCCATAACCACTTTCTTCCATATCCTGACTCATTATTCATTAACTGCCTTGTCACTTGATGCTGTACAGTTTGAGCTACTAATAGCATCATTAAATAAACCATAAATAAATAGATTAAATATTTCAGATATAAAATCTGGTAAGTTGTTGGTATCACCAAACTTGGGTTAAGGAAAGAAGATAAAAGCATTATTAAAATAGATGTAGACTTCGACTAATGATGTATATGTGGTATAACGCAGCATTTATACAATTATGTATGTTCACGAATGTGTGTAATGTTTGTTTTATTATGAAATTATTGACAACAGGTCAGTCAGGGTATAGATTTATCAACAAGATTTCCAGGACTTCGAGCTTGTAATTAACTTGTGTGTCTGTGTTTTGTCCTACTAAGACTTCACCAACTGTGAGCTCTAGGTTTTCATTGTATCAAGTTGACAAAGAATTGGTTGAAAATGTTAAACACACATCTTCATATTACAAGCTACAAATCTTGGTGCTATTAAAAAAACACCCTGTCACAGACCCAATTTCATAACACCACAAACACTTTGGTGAATATGGGGGAACGCATCAACGCTCGGAGGAAGTTTACCGGTACGCTGTTGTTGCTCTTGGTCTGGCTGACTGTTGTCGTCAGTGCTAGTTTGCTCAGAGGCCGCTGTGGCCGCGGTAGTTGTGAGATGGCATGAGATTAGCAAGATGGCGGCGGCGCGTGCCGCACCTGCTCGCGACGCAGGGACCAGCACCCCTCGGCTACCCCCGCTGCTTGGACGCCGTGAGAAACCTGACGCTATAGTCCCAACACTACGCTGACTGGATGCCCGAGAGGACGGACGTCCTCCATGGACCGCCAAAGGAATCCCTGTAAAGTAGTACGTCCTCACAACAGTCAGATCAAAGACCAATTTATTGTTGTGGATCAAATTTTGTTCAACTGCTGTTTACCAAGCATCATGGGATTTATTTTCTTAGCTTCCATTGTTCAGATTCAGTCATATTCATAATGTTGTGGAAACTTCAGTCCAAATATAAATTCATGAAGAAGCAGATCGCCTTGTTTATTTACTGGGAGAGACTTTCAGAGTTCTCATGTAGGATAGAAATAAGAATTTCTGTACAAGTATGGATAAATTATGGTTATGATCTTTATCAAATTTAACATAACAAGAAAACCTCATTTTGATGAACAACCCAACATACTGGCAAAACTTCCTACTTTTGGCATATTTACTACAGTGATAGCATGGGCAAATTCAAATTTTCAATCAAAACCTTTCTTCAGACCTCTATCCCAATTTGTGTTATAAAAATTCATTATTGGGTTTGACATGAAACTACAGTTAAGCCATTTAGAAATCAGTATGGCATCCAGTCGGCAAAAGCAGATTGATAACTAGATTTAGTATGTAACATAAACAAAATTATTGCAGAGTGAGCATTACATAATAAATGGAATTTCTTTATATGAAATCTAACTAAACCAGCTCACTAAGCTGACGTTTTTGAGAAAGTGGTAGTCTATCATTTTCTGCCCTTTATGAAACCCAAATGATCTTTGTCATTTCCATAAAAGTTTGCTGGCAGTATAACAAAATATGTATATTATACCTTCCAATTAAAGCAGGGGGTTCTCAACCTTTTTCGCTGGCACACCACTAAGTCTAATTTAACACATTAAATGTACCACTAACCAAATGCATTCAGAGAAAACTGTTATTTATGTTAATATTAACTTTTATTTTCTTACTTAGTTTGTATACCACTCAACATTGGCTCGTGTACCACCAGTGGTACGCGTACCATAGGTTCACACAATTTTGTATGAGCATTATGCTACTGGAACCTAATCTCATACTTTCAATGTCCTACAATATAATAGAAAGAAAAGCAATGCTAGTACCGATTGATTACAACTAATCTGAGACAGTCAGAAATAACCTATTCATATGTCAGGAATATCTAAATAAGAAAGTTAGTGCCTGTAAATAAGGTGTAACAAAGTTTTACATTACTCTACAGTTGATACTGAGTTTTTTTAAACAACAATGCAATATACACTTAAACTGGTTTTGTGTGTATTCATGCATATACATCTACATACATAAGTATGTTTCAGGTCATAAATAGTTCTCTCCAAGCATCACTGATTAAGATAATGGTGACAATTCATTATCTTTTTACTTCTAAACAGATATAACTGAACAAACTAAATACTATAATAATCTAGTATTTTCAGCCTGAAGATTTATTAATGCAAATTATTTATCAAAATATTTTTAAAATTAAATTATAGAAAGGATAGAGTATTTAATACTAAGCAAAGGAGTAACACTTACAGAGGTTCTCAAACTCTATTGTTAAAGAGGTACAGGGAGACATGTAAAACAAACAAACAAACAACAAAATACTGTTATTCTACACTAGACACAACATTATTAAATGGCACAAATTATTAAGGAAGGCACATACTTTCTTCTCTGCTCCAGTCTACTAAGGTGGTCGTCCACACAGTACTTTAGGTCCATTCAGACTATGCTCACAAAGTATAGATATTATGTGGAAGAAGAAGAAAATGGGCCTGATTTTGAAAGCATGCAATTTGTGTCAAATGGAATAAGATCAAACAATTTTAGAACAGTTACTTAATTAGGGATGACGACAAATTTTTCAAAAAACATTAAGATGTTAGGCAGCAAGTTCTTTTAGATATATGGATATCTTAACCGCACACATTCTTTTCCTACTGTCATGACAGAATTTATTCTTCTGAAACATAAAGATAACAACCTCCAACCAGTTTAAATGAACTGAACTGGCTCATTAGTTCAGCAATTCTTCATTCACTGTAGTATGTACTATCTAATAAAATGACATGATACAAGCTTGCACTATATCTGACATAATGCACCTGTTAATTTAGTCGATGCCCAGCTGTTTCTGATTTATCTTGGTCTGCTGCCAGATCTCCCATGTTTTAACCATCTGCCAAAATATTCTAGTCTGAGAACAGTTGATGGCCTGAATTGAGTGGACCAGAGTGGGGTTGCAGTCATTTGTACAGCATCTTAATTACCCCTACGAGATGAATGGAGCAGAGCGGAACTAGTGCCTGCTGCCCCTTATATCTCTCTGAACTTAGGAGCAGGATTGAGTTAATTATATCTGTAATGTAGGAATATTTGTAAGCATTGTACAGTGTTACGTACCCTTGATCCTCAGTGCATTCAGTACAGTACACACCATTAAATAGCACAGAGTTATGGCATTTCCCTTACTATTAGGAATAAATTTAAATAATTATTACAAATCAGTAAATGTTGACATTAGTAAAATAAATATTTTATTAGGTACTGTGTTGAAATGTCATCATAAATAATTTATTGTGGCTTAATTACATCATACTTCTTTAAAAATTATTAATGAGTTAGTGATTTCATGATAATATGGTTGCAGCTCTACAAATTTATGCTTATAATGTGATCTGCTGATAGAATCCTGCATCACAATTTTAGCCACTGTAAATATTAAGTGAAACATACATTAATAATATTTTCAGTGCTCAAATGTTATTTTGTGTAAATATGCCACTTGTACAATTTATTATCTGTTATACATACATTAAATTAGGCATAACAACCGTTCAGACACAGCAAACATATAAGAAGTTTAAAATTCCTCATGAAAACTCAAATCCTGCTGCTTGTTCCAGCTAAAGGTCTACAGTACATGCAAAGCATGCTATGAGGTACAGGTACTTTCACATTATATACAGGATTATTCATAATCCCCTGACACATTACAAAAAATCGCTAGACTTGAATGGTGCAATAGGTGTTAACATAGGACATGCCGATAGAAAGAGAAACTCTCCAAGTTTATTTTACATACCTCATAAATGCTCTATGTGTCCGCCCCTTGTGACATGGCAGACGTCAAGCCGATAATCATAACCATGCGCTGCTTCCTTGTCCACCCATCTCACTGACCTGACGCCATGTGATTTTTTTCGTATGGGGGAACGTTAAGGACCAGGTCTTTGTACCGCCTCTGTCATGGGATCTGCCTCAACTGCAAAGACGAATCATCGCTGCCATCTCACAAATCGATAGTGACATGCTGCAGCAGGTTTGGGCGGAAATGTATTATCGGCTTGACGTCTGCCTCGTAACAAAGGGCGGACACATAGAGCATTTATGAGGTATGTAAAATAAACCTGTACAGTTTCTCTATCAGCATGTCCTATGTAACCATCCATTGCACCATTCAAGTCTAGCGATTTTTTGCAATGTGTCAGGGAATTATGAATAACCCTGTATATCATCTATTTATGATACACAGGTCTAATTTAATTCTAGTGAAATCAACTAAGCACAAAATTTAATTTCTTAACTCTTTTCTATGCATATAACTTGATATCCTGCCTGTTTAGCTTAATACAATATATTTTAAACACAAATATATAAAATTCACCAAACTTCTTATTATGTTATCATGACATCACTTAGAAGACCTGACTTATAATATTAATACTAATTCTTAAAGGAAAAGGTATGAGGATGCAGACTGAAATGAATACAGTTCAGTTGTGAGCTCTTATGAACACGGTAACAAGCCCTCAAGTTCCAAAGACAAGGTATTTATTAAGATGGCTGTCTTCTGGGTTGTAGTGCTGTGTAGTATGGTAGAAGTTTACCAACGTTTCAGAGGTCATTGCTGCATCCATCAACAGGGCAATGAGAACCTCAAATCCTACTACGGTTTACTGACTAGCTGAGGGACTACTGGCTTCTCAAATAGGATTCAATTGCACGTGGTTAATTAATACAAGTTTAATAACAAGAAAATACTAGTTGTGCTACTACATTTGTAAGCCAATAGTGCCAGATGACAGGAAGACAAGGCAATGTGTGTTTACACTAAAACAAGAATAACTTGTGGAAAGAATGAGTTTAATTCCAGAGAACTGAGATGGTCACTATGTGACTGTCAAATTTATGAAAGTAACAAAATATTAGAAATGCTTCACAGAAAATAATAAAGAATGGAAAGATGCACGTTTATACTGTAACATTTAATGAGAGGACCTTCTGACTACAAATTTTCAATAAACACATTTGTGGTAAACATCTATAACATTAAGCTTATGGAAAACAGACATGTTGTCCACATATGGCATTTAACAATGCAGTGCATGTACAAAATGTCTATAGAAGAATGATCCAAAGATAGGAAAGCGTATTGTGTTCATAGACCATGTGTACGAAATTATCCAAGCCATTTAAAGCATTCTCTTAACTTACATTACAGTGAGAAATATAAAATAAGTAAAGAAACAACTATTAACACTATAAAAAAGACACTATTGCCAAACGCGTTTCAACCTCAAGATTAATTTCCTTGATGCCACTGATGATGACCTCTTGAGGTTGAAACGCGTATGGCAATAGTGTCTTTTTTATAGTGTTAATAGTTGTTTCTTTACTTATTTTATATTCTAATACACTACACGGTATGCAAAGTTTTAAGTGAGAAATATGTTTATTTATTTTACCAAGTTATGTCAACTTTGTATCACAGATGTTAACAAAACCTACAAGAATTGATCAATGCACAGAAATAACTGATGTCCTTTTGAAATGATACTGTAAGAGTTGATTCATTACAGGAATGCTATTTATGGCACTGTCCATCTTCTGAGGTATTCGTATTAATATAAAATACCCTTCAGACAATGGACAGTCGTCCTAACATCCCTCAGAAATATTGTTGAAATGTTTATTATAGCAATACAATATGTGGTATATGGCACCGATTCAATTTCTCAAAATGAGCACATCATTATTATTACACATATGTGGCAGAATTATACACAGTTTGAAACATATTTCAAGGTAATGTAGATAAACATCATACAGAATAATGGAAGAACATGGGGAAGAATCTGAGGGAGAGCTGTTAAAAAATTGTTCACAGATATGGCTAGTGGAATTATTTGTTTGTATAAAATTCCTTTATCAATCTAATATGCAGAATGAATTACAAATAATATATATCTCTCTCTCCAGACTTTTTTATATAATTAATGAGGCAATACATACAAGTTATTCTGAAATAGAAAACATGTAAATGTCTGAATGAGCATGAAGTAAATCACCAGTTATTAGACCAAATCTCTTAGCTTTAATCTTCTGACTGTATAAGAGGCTCCCAACTTTTCAAGATCGGGGGCACACCTACCCTTTCTTAGTGACTCTAGGCTGCCAAGTTATAAATAAGGGCCATTTATTAACATTTCATGGAAATGTATTAAGAGTGGTAGGCAAACAGGTCCACATACCCACCACTAAATTATTATCCTTAACAAATTTGTTGATTTGATATTGTTATTAACTATTCAGTTAAAACAACAAATTATAAAAGTTGAAGTGAAAGCGATTTGGAATTCATTATTATCTATCACATTTAAAGAAGGAATGTCATTCATAATTTGAGACAGGAAATTTAATATGAGTTACTCCCAAATTTGTAAAAATACTTAAAGCTTAAATTGTACACTAAACTTGTATAAAAATTACTTGTTTTCCTTACGGTAAACTGGTCTCAACAATAGAAAATAATGCACTATTTAATGTTTTAGCAAAATATCAAAATGGAAAATATACATCAGTGGATGTGATATGCTATTCTCATAATAAAGGGGCATGCCATAAATTTCTGAAGTACCTGGGGCACATTTTCCATATTAGGAGTAAAACCATACTGAAATCAAGTTAATTTATGGCAAAAATAGTGTGATGTTACATAAATCTGTAACATTTATTTATAACCATACTTCAGCATTTTTAAATTAGTCTATTCAGACCTGAAATACTGTTCAATTTTCCTAGATGTGAGACTTCTTTTCCCAATTTATCACTAAATTAATTAAATAATAAGTATAACTTCACTGATGTTATCATATCAAAATAATACTACAGAAAATCTTCCTTCAGCATACACATTTCTTCAGACAACTGACTTAGAAACCCAGAAATATCTTATCCTTCAATTCCTGTACTGATTTATTGTACGACATGCAGATTTTTATTTACTATTCCTTGTACATAATTTGAGTTAAAAATAAATACTGTGTACCTGTACCTGTACCTATACATTATAGTAATTAAATCTTGTTTAAACAAAAAATGTGCTGACAAGAGGATTGAGAAAAAAACCCTTCGAGAAATATGGGTTGTCAACAAATTAAATTACTAAAAAATGGAAATTAGTTTCATGGGATCAGCCTGAATCCAACAAATTTTACTGGTATTAATGGCTGTAGACAGCAAGTACTACCAGCAGTCTGTTAGCATGACACAATTCCATTACAAGACTATCACAACAGTTATGCAAATGCCACACTGACCTGTCTCACTGGAGAAGAGGATTGGAGGCGCAAGGTTTGCATTAGCATAGTGCCGTGGTCTGGAGTAGCGTGCCCTGCTGAATAGTTTCAGCACAAAACAAATTAGTGCTGTAAAAATGGCCAACCCTGTAGCAACACCAAATAGTGTTGGTACATCTGTTGTCAGTATCACCAAGTCTGAAAACAATGAAAATATCCTTCAGTGTACACTAGGGAAATTACCAAAAATTTGTACATGAAAAATTAAATTAATTACATTTATTCACCTTGGCTTTACATGTTCGACAGATTTAGTAGTACTTGTTTTTAAGGAAGGAAATGCTTGACAGGCTAACTGGAAAATATGTTGAGATAGTTTGTGGTTATTGGCTGTTATGCTCTCTGGTAAAGTAGTGTCTAAATTTTTAATTTTGTAAGTTCATACTCCTTTGATTATTTCAAAGGACAAAAAGTAATGGTCTTATGATTTTCCACACAGTAGCTGATATGGCTTTCTAGACCCATAACAAACAAGTAAACTGCAAACAAAATAGAAAGGCTGAAAGGCATAATAATTCAGAACTCATGGAGGGACTACAAAAATTATACTGTCTGTCAGTAAAAACAACTATGCAAAGGCCTAAATTCAAAACTGGCTGTACACAAATTTTAGCCACCTAACTTCTTGAAGCACAGTCTTCAGACACACTGCCAGGAAAACCTCAAATCCTACAAAGCTGAGTATAATTCACCTGGTCAAGAATTGCCATGTTCACAGAAAAGCTAGCAATGGATTCTATCCTGAGCCAGATGAATCCAGTCTACACCCTTCCTTCAATACATATCTCCTGTTATTTCTTTCTTTCAGGTGTTCAAAGTAAAATCTTCTTCTTCTTGTAGCGTTATAACCCTATGTTGGTCTTAGCTTGTTCAACGAGTTTTTTTCCATTCTGTCCTATCATTCACAATTCTTCTCCATCCCCTCACTCCCATCATCCTCCACATCATCTATCCATCGTTCCCGTGGTCTCCCTCTCATCCTTCTTCCCATCGGTCTCCATTCCATCACTCTTCTAGTTAATTTTTTGTTTTTGATAAGCCTCACGATATCTGCTCCCTGTATGATACAATCCTAATTCTCCAGGAGCCATCACTATTATGTACTGGACCACAGATTTTCCATAATATGTTCAAAGTAAAATTTTGTATGTAATTTCCCCCAATGCTCAAAATTTCCCACCCATCCCAACTCTTAATTTGATCACCTGAATATTATTTGGTCAGTATAGATTATGAACACCCTCATTACGTAAATAATCCGACATATCTACTGTTATTAAAGAATAAGTAACACATATACAAGGTCTATACCTTCAGAACAGAAAACTTTCTTCGTGGGTCTCTGAAGTGCCACTGTGTGGTATCCAGGTTTACACTGGCACACAGCATTGTGCTTGATCTGTATACAGATGGCATGCTGGTCAGTAAAAGCACAAGTCTGCCTGTAGAAACATTGGTCACCCAGACGCACAGCTGTAAACAAATGCAGACACCTTAAATCAAGGTAGTAACGCCTAAATGTATGGGCAAATGAGCAGAATGTTGAACAAAGTGTACATAAACTTCAGAGGATAACTGAATTCATGGAATATGAAAGACACCATCATCAGGGCAATGATGGAGGCAGCAAGGGCCTCTGAAATGTTGGTAAATTTCTACCAGACTACATGGCGCTACAACCTAGAAGACAGCCATCATTGGACTCACCACCGTAAAAACTTCAAATCCAACCTAAGTCAACTATTCACGAGGAATACACATGAATATTATCCAGGAATAATACTGAAAGAAAGAAATATAAATTACATACTTATACTTTATTTTATAATGTAAGTTTAACTGTTTCATGCGCATGCATGTGGGGTCCGCAGTGGCCGCGCGGTCTGAGGCATGGGTCTTGTGCCGCTTGGTCGCAGGGACAGTGGGTTCGAATCCCATTAAAGCCATGGATGTTTTTCTGTGTTGTGTTGTCCTGTAAATAGGTAGAGGACCTAGCAACAGGCTGATCCCTCATCCAAGGAGTCCTACCAAATGTCCACAGATCAAGCCAATTGAAAAATGTTGGGGACCCGTAAAGGGTACTGGAAAATGTACAAACATTGTTAAACTGGAAAAAGAAGAAGATGTGCATGCATGTACGCACACATACAAAGGCCTATCGTCTATCATGATGAAGATAAGTAACAAGCACACATACAAAGTCTTCATGAAACTTGTCTAAAAATTAACAATTACAAGTATGGAGGTTATATCTGAAAAATGTAACATAGTGGTAATCTGTATAAATTATAAAGAAGCATAGAAATGTATCACTAGAATTTGTAATTATTAATTTTCCAAGTCCGCTAGCCTCACCATACACATTCAAGCATTTCAGAGGAAAGGTAGTGTCACATGTTCTTATCTGAAACATTTAGCTTTTGTACGGCAATACTTACGTTTGGCACATCCCTTTTTGGCCCCCAGTTTGACTGGATATTTCTTCTCGCATTCACAGTGCCTAGTGATCTGGTCACAGAAGACATGGGGAAGGTCGGGATCACAAGTGGCTTCGCAAGGTGCACCCAAGAATGATCCCAATTCTGTGAAACAAATGGTTCATTTTATATTGGTAAAAATGTCAATTCTACACTAGGGTTTTTATTGAAATAACTGCAATAAATAATTACATTTTAAATATTATAACACAATCTCATAAGTTTTTGGGTATGTTTCATCGCATATCAGCTTATGCGACAATTACTGTTTATTGGGCTAAAGGTATGCCCAGATCTATTTAACAGTGAGTGATATGGCATAAATTTGCATTTTTTCAATACATTTTTGTAAGGGTATCAAATGATTTTTTAATCTTTTTCCAATGGATTCTGAGCAAAACATATAGTATCAATATTAACTCATAAAAACTTGATATGACTTACAAATAAAATTTATTAGAAACTGTTCTCAATGAAAAAGTGATGTACACACAGGGTTAGTAACTTAAAGCAGTGGTATTCAACCTGGGGTATGTGTACCTCTGGGGGTACGCGAAGACATCTTAAGGGGCATGTGAAATTTTTAAAAAAATATTATGTTATGATAAAAACTGAATAATCAGGGCCAGATTTAGGGTTAGCCACAGGAGAACCGGACGTAAGGACATTCTTTTTTGGGAGCGCCATTTCTCTCTCTCTCTCCTTTATGAGATTTTTATCTGGGCGGCTAGTTTCATTTTATTCCACATAGTGCTTTGGAACCTGACTGAACACTATTGGGCATGATTTAAACATATAATTTTGCTTTGCTAAAATACCTTTGTTCCTTTATTATTTTTATATGATAGGCAATAATATACTTGTTATTTAATAACTTGATTCTCCTGTTTCTCATTTAAAACTTATTATTTAATACATTATTTTGGATGTAATTTATTTAATATATTTTGGATGTAGATTATATACCATGTATAACTTGAATTATACACCAACAACTTTGGGGGTACAAAGTTGAAGAGAAATTATATCTCGTGGTACGCGAACAAAATAGGTTGAATACCACTGCCTTAAAGTATGCCCAGTTTGAATTCTATGTTTCTTGTCCAGTTAAAACTTTGTCAGGCAGTGGACCACACTATCACATCCAAACCAGATGTGGAGTGAAGGGGAAACTTCATCAACATCCCCACCCATGGGAAAGAGGCACCTGTGTTTAGTCCCGAAGTCTAAAATACTCGGTGTTTCCCTGCAAATCCATTACGTCTTCATGTTACAATGCTTAACACACCTTGTTTATTACAGAGGAGTGCTACGACTGTAAGCCACCTCACTTCAAGAGTAGAAGGAAATGGAAAGCACCAACTTGAAGTAAAAGAAGGGAATGGAATTGTAACAACTGGTCGTTAA